TTTTGCCATTTTATCTTTTGTTTTTAATAAATAAAGTTATTACTTTGACCTTAGCATACAAATGAATATAGCAGAGAATTTCTATTTGCTCTAAAAATGTATAAACAAAATTTAGTGGAAGGAGACCTTTTTTTTTAAAAAAAATATTTTTATTGATCTCAGAGAGGAAGGGAGAGGGAGAGAGATAGAAACATTAATGATGAGAGAGAATCATTGATCGGCTGCCTCCTGCACGCCCCCCACCGGGGACCAAGCCCGCAACCCAGGCATGTGCCCCTGACCGGAATCGAACCCGGGACCCTTCAGTCCACAGGCTGATGCTCTATCCACTGAGCCAAACCAGTCAGGGCAAAGGAGACTTTATTTTAATAAGTATGCAATACTTCCCTATGAATACCTCAAATTACTCCATTTAGCTTTCCCTCACCTGGGTCCATTATACCTGCTTCTTTTTTAAATCTCAATTTCTGTGCCACCTAAACACTGGCCTCAATAAATGCTAGTCTCCATTCACTACTTGCTCCCAGCACAGACACACATCCTTCTTTTACTAAACCACAGCAAAGCTAAGGTAGTAAACTTCCTAGTGGTTCCATTTAAGGAAAGAATATCAGATCATGGTGTTTCTTAGAGTTGGCTCACTAGAAAAGCTACAAGCCCAAGTCAACCTCCTTATAGGGCTTTCCTGCCCAGCTACCTGGGCAGCCCCCAGCCACAAGATATCCATCACCTCATCTGCCTGCCTACCACAGGGCCTCTCCTCCCTCTTGCCCAAAGGGCAGGCTATTGATCCTGATCACTCGACGAGCTTTAAAGCTGACTGCCCGTCCAACTTTAGCATTTCCTGCCCTTCTACAGAGCCTACTGCACTCTTAGCTACAAGAATGTGTCTACTCAGCTCCAAGGCTGTGGCCTGCCTGCCCTACCAGAGCACCAACCATAAATGAATCTGAACATGTTTGACCCCCTCAGAAGCCAAGACTTCCTAGGCCATATCCTGCTCTATGATCTGTCTCTTCCTTCAATGACTGCCATGGCATCCCAATGCATGCCCTTTAGAAGAGAGCCCTCTCTCTGCTGCTCAGAGGGCCTTGTCCTATCAGACCTGCAGGGCAACCACAACATTACAATATTAGAAAAAAATAATCTGTATGACATTCTCTCTCACTGCTCTCTAATCACACATTCACACCCCAACTTCCTCCAACTACTATAACTAATACAATTCTTCCTATCTCTGGACTCCATTTGGAAAACAATGCCACCTATTTCAACATTCCATTCTTCTTGATTTCTTTCACATGCCTTGGGCAGAGCTTCTTAACATGGAATATATGAACTCCTTAGGGAAATATGAATTAAATGTAGAAGCCTGTGTGTGTTTTTCTAGGATTAGGGTATACAGTTTCACTAAGTTTTCAAAAGGGACCCAAAGTAGATTAAGTCTTGAGTTTCTCTGTACTTCCCATAGTGACAAGCACAGCCATGGACACATTCCACAGCTCATTAAGTATTTGTTGGCAGGCTGTATACATAAGACACTTATAGCTTTCTCACTCTTTACATGAAGGCTCTAATTTCATTTGTTCAAAAGACATTTATATTACACCAGTACTATGTGCCAAAACACTATACCAGGCTCTGAGGACAAAAACAAAAATACAGTACCCACATACTAGTACAAGGAGCTCAAAGTATAATAATGAGGGAGACAGAAACATCTATTTATCCTATATAATAAAAGTGTAGTATGCAAATTGTCCCCTCGACCGGGAGTTCATCTGGGAGTTCGACCAGGGGGCAGGGCCGGCTGGAGGAAGGAAGGGAGGCCCCAGCCGGCAGTGGCGGCAGGGGGAAGGGAGGCCCTGGCGGCAGCAGGCAGCCGGGGGAAGGGAAGGAGTACCCAGCAGGCAGTCGCTAGGGACCGTACCAGTGCACGAATTTTGTGCACTGGGCCTGTAGTGTACATATAAAAGCCTAAGCAACCGGCCAGTAGCTATGATGCGCACTGACCACCAGAGGGCAGACACTCAACATAGGAGCAGAAACCACAGGCATGAAAACATGGAGACTGATGAATCTCAGGGGAAAAGGGGGATAGAGGGGAGATGAGAAAATTAACCAAAGATCTTATATGCATACTAGAGGCCTGGTGAACGGATTTATGCATTGGTCGAGTCCCTCGGCCTGGCCTGTGGGGATCGGGCTGAAACCGGCTCTCCAACATCCCTCAAGGGGTCCCGGATTGCAAGAGGGCGCAGGCCAGGCTGAGGGACCCCACCAGTGCACAAATCCGTGCACCGGGCCTTTAGTCTAATTATAATACAATATGTTATAAGGGCAATGATACAGCCATTATGGGGAGGGGCTTATATGTGCTAGCTGAAATTATGAGAGCATATAAGTGACTGGTATGTGGTAAGCAGGGGGCAAAGAAACGAACATTGGGGACACAAGCACATGAAGGGCAGTGCAGTGTGATAGAAACAAAGCCCAAGAATAAAGCAGAAAAGGAATGATTAATAAGACACATGAGGAATAAAGAGCAGCTCTGAAGGAGGGTGAAATCAGCAGTGTAAAATGCAGCAGTAAAGACTTCAAAAGAGTCCAAAAACCTACCAATTAGAGGTTACTGGTAGCCTCAGAAGTTTCCAAGATGTGAGCACAAAAGGCAAATTACAATGGAGTGAGAAGTCAGTGGAAAATAGTAGTTAAAATGTTTGGATAAGAAAGGAAGAAAGACAAGATAGTCACTAGAAGAACTCAGGATTAAAAGGGATACTTTTTAGGATAAGAGGGACTTGAATAGGTTTTCAGGCTAAAGGGGAAGAGTAAGCAGAGAGGAAGAGGTTGAGAGTTTGGAAACAGAGAGGTGATATAAAAGAGCAAGAACCAGGAATGGCAGAATGGACAGAGTCAAGGGCATGACTGGAGAAGTCGAGATTAAGCAGGAGGTGAGACATCCTCTTCACTAAAAAAACCAAAGGAAAGAGAACGGTGATGGCAAAGGGCGAAGATGCCCTGGCCACGTAGCTCAGTTGGTCAGAGCATCGTCCCGATACACCAAGGTTGGGGGTTCAATCCCTGGTCAGGACACATACAGGAATCAACCAATGAATGCATGAATAAGTGGAACAACAAATCTCTTTCTCAAATCAATAAATAAAATTTTAAAAAAATGAAATTACACAGTATTAGATTACAGTCAAAGCATGAGTTTAGAGACAAAAAGTATGTTCTGTGTTATTTCACCAAACCCAGCATGGTATGTATTTTTGATCAGCCCTAACAGCCCATATGCAGTAGGAAAAATGATATAGAACTAAAGTAGGCAAACTTTTTCTATAAAGTTTTCTATAAAGTAGGCAAATATTTTTTGGTTTTGCAAGCCATATAAGTCTCCATTACAACTACTCAACTCTATCACTGTAGCATGAAACACGGTCACTAACGATGCATAAAGGAATGGGCATAACTATGTTACAATAAAACTTTATTTACTGATGAGTGGATTTGGCCCACTTGACCCCTGTTCTCTAGACTGAGAATACTACAATGGAAATAAAGCAGTAGAAAGAAATATGAGGGAGAATGAAATAAAGAAATAGACAAGAGAGCACAGAACTGAAACAGAGTTGAATTGGGATATTAAAGAGAAAAAATATAAATGAGGAGCAATAAGAAGAACAGAAAGAGGGCAAGAGAAAAAAGCAGGTGAGAAAGGAACATTGGAAAGAGACAGGAAACCAAGTTAAAATAAAATGCCAATTTCAAGGTATGTATATGCCGGTCAAGGGCACGTACTTGGGTTGCAGGTTCGATTCCCCATCCGGGTCATGTGGGAGGCAACCAATTGTGTTTTTCTCACACTGATGTTTTTCTCTCTCTCCCCCCACCCCTCCCTCCCTCCTTTTCACTCTCTCTAAAAGTCAATGGAAAAAATATCACTGAATGAGGATTAACAAATAAACAAATACAAGATAGACATTTGAGGAGATACAAGAACAGGACACAGTGCTTTCATCAACACTGTAACGCAGTTACAGAGTACCTAGGATGGCTAGCTTCTGAAAAAGCAAGCTAACTATAGGTGAGAACCTTGTTAAGAGGTCCAAGAGAAAAGCTTTAACTTTCTAGTGGCTTATAACTTCTAAATAACAGTGTAGAAAAATTAGCACAACAGAAACAGCTGTTGGCATAGACTGAATCATAAAAATTAAAACTTGCTGAGTTATGATTTGCAATAGAATTGACTATGAAATTTGACCAAGAGAAAAAATCAATTTAAGAATCAAGTTCAAAATTGCCCAGAAGAGCCGTACAATGTTATTGAACATTCAGCACTATAAAATATGCTCTCTAAATGAATAACAGCAACTCTGACATTTTTCTCCTCAATGAACAGTTGAAACATACTAAATTTTAATATAAATACATCACCACTTTTATATTCTCTAAACGTAGTCCCAGACCCTGAACGTTTTTTCAAATATGTATGGTTCTCCTTTACCATTTGTCTTCATTAATCATTTTCTATCCACAGCCCTCTGCCTTTCTCCCTTAGCTCTGTGCCTTTGATTTCTTTACAGAGCATTTATAAAACTGAAACTAAAGCATTTATAGAACTATAAGCTTAATACAACTATGTGTTATTTATAAGCATTATAAAATGAAAAATTTATAAACTAAAGCATTGCAGAACAAATGGGAGAAGAAATTTTCCGATGAGTATAACAGTAGCATGTTTAACCATGATACTGTAGAAAATCCTTTACAAACTATTTTTTAATAAGAACACAAACTCTCATTATTTATCCTACTAAAAGTAGCAATGAATCTTCCACTAGTTTTTAACATTTTCCAACAAAAATGCATTATAATCCCCATTTATCTTAATCAGGTCATTTTTTAAAGCCCATATTTCTTTAAAAAAATGTCTGTAGAGTCTGCTTGAACAAATTTTATAAACCATGAAGCATACTTAGGAAATCAAAACTCACCTCTTCTTGCATAACTGGAGTCCATATCTTTAAACTGTACCACAACGAAGTCTGAACACTTAAACAGAATACTCTCCATTATTTCTTCACGTTTTGGCCCTGAACTGGATTCTGTACTTTTCTCATGTGCAGCATCAAGGACCAAATCACACTAAAATGAAAAACGTGAGTAAATATTTAAACATTTATAAAATAAACTTGACATGACTTCTTCAGCACATCAAAGTACTATGCTTACATGCCTTTGGCAAAAAATAATCTATCTCAAGAGAACTATAATTATACGTTTTCCTCAGAAATATGAACTGTTTCCCATTCCATCTTTTAAAAATCCTCTCACCTAAAAGTTGGTCCTTGCTACCATGGTATGCCTCGAGAACATTAATAGTAATAAAAAAGAAAACAAACAAACAACCCAATTTCTCCCTCTTCTGGTCCACAATACTTGAAAAGGCCAAAATATTTTTGTTGTTGTTAATGCTCACCAGAGGATATTGATTTTTAGAAAGAGTGCAGGGGAGAGACAGAGAGAAACATTGATGTGAGAGAGACACATCAGTTGGTTGTCTCCCACATATGCCCCACTGGGGATAAGGATTGAGCCTACAATCGAGGTAGGTGCCCTTGACCAGAATCGAACCCGGGACCCTTCAGTCCATACTCCATCCACTGAGCCAAACCAGCTAGGGCAAGGCCAAAATAATCCTTTTGATTATACATACCATCTATAAAATAATCAGTATTTGAAACTGAAGAGCAAAATCATTCAAAGTGGTTTTAAAAAGTGCTTTTAAGGTAAAGCACTGAGCATGAAAATGTGACAAACATACCCACCTCATAACTATAAATTGCTAAATCAAAAACCAACAAGCACTGTCAGGAAGCCACACAAGCACAGGGCAGTTAATGATTCATGGGGTTTCACATTTAACAAAAAGGAAAAGAGTAAAAATTACCTTAGGACTGTATGTTTTAAAAACTCCTTCATATATACCTCCATTTTTCACTTGTACTTCACATTTGGATCCCTAAAAACATATAATTAATTTATCAAAGAAACAGTGTGATACCCAGTCATGGTGGTAACTGTTTTCAATTTACGTTTTATAGCTCATCAGGCTTCATTCAACATATCAGGTGCTCACTGACAGAACAATAAAAGTTTTTAAAATATCAACAATACACAATTCTCACAGGATTCTACTCAGAATTTACAGCATGAACTTAAATACTGAAGTTAAGTATTTCTGACTCCAGTCCTAATAAGGTGACAAAATAATGCATCATAACAACTACTGATTATTATGTACACAACAGGGTTAACAAGAATGCTTTTTATAGTGAATTACAGTAACTTGGGTAGAATTCTAACCTCCAAAATTCTAGTCAGAATTCCTGATTAAACATGACCTAAGAAATGTTACACAGAGAATCATTCAGCCACATTTTAACTTCATGAAATTATTTTATTCCACTCCCAAGGCAGTTTCTCCCCAATAATCTGATAACTTACAACAACTGATGTAAGTATATGAACCATCCTCATATTTGCATAGATTCCATCAAAAGAAATCTGGAACATTAAGAAAAAAAAAACATTATTAGCAATCAATATTTATCCTTGCACATACATTAAACATTTATTTTGTTATAAAATATTTAGTTAGGTTTGTAATACCTTACATGCATTAAAGGAAGATTTGGTTTACTATAGTCTTTTGCTTCTTTAGAGAATCGAAACTTAGGTTTTCATACCAAATAACAATGTTTTGACTATGCCTGATATAAAAAGCAAAACTGAACTTACATGTATGAGGAAAAGACAAAGCCATAGGAATAGAAGAGACAGATCAGTGATTGGGGAGATTTCACTATAAAGTGACATGAGGGATTTTTAGAGGCAATGTAACTGTTCTACTATTTTGATTATGGTGGTGGTAACACAAGTGTATGCATCAAAATTCACAGACCTGTATACTAAACAGGGTTAAGAATACCTTAACTAAATGGGGTAGAGTTGTAGAAAACCCTGGATTATCTGCTCTCAGCACGTATGAATCAATGACAGCGCTCTAAGGATTAATCAGTCACACCACTCATTACGTAAGTGTGTGTCCTCCTGATTCTAAAGAAGAAAAACTGCCCAATAAAGACAAAGTCTCAAAAATTAGTGAGTGGAACTTATACCTTCTTCTGTTTGTGCCCAATTTAAACCCAAAAGGCCCTTTCAAAGGAAGAAAAATGAAAAGAATAAAAGATAGCACATTAACTCAAAATCAAAACCCAAAGAGCTCTGCAAACTCCAGTTCTGGTATTCCACTTATCTTTTAGGAGTTAGATTTGCCTTCGGTGATTTATAAAAGAAGAAATGACATTACTATGCATGAAAAATATTTCTAGATAATATTACATTTTATACAGTCATCATCAAAATGACATAGAGCTAATAATTTTATACCAAACAGTACTGATCTGTAAAAGATATCGGAGATATAAAATTGAAGAGGGAATTTTTTTGCCTTGACTTTTGGTCTATGGTTTCAAAATCATATTTCAGTTACCAGTTTTTCCAAATAAATAATATTCAAATTACTCACCGTAGACTGAGGCAGTCCCTTGTTATTGTTTCGACCTCTGAAAAGATTAAATATTATGTTTATTAAATTCAACAGGCTAAACAAGCTAAAATATTTTCAAATTTAAAATATCTTATGATTCCATTCATAAAGCACAAGTGATCAATCTGTGATCTAATATTAAGTATAAAAGCTATCTAAGAACAGTCCCCCCCCCCCGCCCCGCTTTGCTGGCTTTGAGGCCCAGAACAGGTATGGGTCATGGAAGGAAGGCAGGAGGAAAGAAACTGAACAATATCAAACTCAAAATTTAGTACTGGAATAACCAATACTAAATATAATAATCTTTACTCCAAAAGTAATCAATCGTTCTGTCATGAAAAGCTACTCAGGAGCAAAATATAGATTCTGTTCCTGATGTGACTGACATCAAGTCACTTCCTATGTTTTTCCCTCACCTCTAAGAATAGGTACTGTGTTTACAACTGCAGAAAAACGACTCAAAATAAGTAAAATTGGCCCTAGGAGGTTTGGCTCAGTGCATAGAGCGTCAACCTACGAACTGAAGAGTCCGGGGTTCAATTCTAGTCAAGGGAACGTACCTCCGTTGCAGGCTCCTCCCTAGCCCGGGCCCTGGTCAGGGCGTGCAGGAGGCAACCCATCAGGAGGCAACTAATCAATGTGTTTTTCTCACACTGATGTTCCTCTCTGCCTTTCCCTCTCTCTTCTACTCTCTCTAAAAATCAATGGAAAAATATCTTTGGATGAGGATTTTAAAAAGTTACATCCTGTTAAATAGTAAGTGCCTTCTTCAGAATCTAGGTAACAAGTGCCTTCTGAAACAATGTAGCACACCAATGAAGCTGGCTGTCAAGTAATTTCTAGTAATGTGGACTCTATTTTCAATTTTATTATAGAACATAATACACCCTAAGGCTTGTTCAATTAGAAAAAATTAGAACCCTTAGGAAATTATAAAAGCACTAATAAAGTGAAATGTTATATTCCTAAAAACATGAGTTACTCTAGAGTAACGGAACTGGGGTCTCGTTTTGATAAAATCACAACTCTCAAATTAAGATACAAACTTAAGGGAGAGATCAACCAAAGGACTTGTATGCATGCATAGAAGCCTAACCAATGGACACAGACACCAGGGGGGTGAGGGCAGGAGGGGGGAAGGGGGCAATGGGGGGATAAGGACACATATGTAATACCTTAATCAATAAAGAAAAACAAAAAGATACAAACTTAAACCATTCAAAGAGAAGTACAATTCAGGTCTAAAAAGTCTAGCAGAGCCCTAGCCGGTTTGGCTCAGTGGACAGAGCATCGGCCTGCAGACTGAAAGGTCCCAGGTTCGATTCCGGTCAAGGGCATGTTCCTTGGTTGTGGGCACATCCCCAGTAGGAGATGTGCAGGAGGCAGCTGATAAATGTTTCTCTCATCGATGTTTCTCACTCTCTATCCCTCTCCCTTCCTCTCTGTAAAAAATCAATAAAATGTATTTTTTTTTAAAAACAAAAAACCTTGGGTGTGCCATAAAAACACCCTATTCTAAAAAAAAAAAAAAAAAAAAGGTCTAGCAGTTTTGAATGGTGTCAATTCCCAGCAAAGTAGCACTGCCCTTAGCACTGAGGCCAGGGCCAATTTGGTCTCCAACTCTGTCACCTTCCCTCATCTAGAAGATAATGTCTTGAACCAAATCACCTCTGGGATTCCTTCCATTTCCAATATTCTGATTCTGTGACTGCCTCACACACAGCACAGAGAACTTCCTAAAGTCTAAATATGACCAATAATTTACCATTTATAGAACTGACTAAAAACCAGACACTATGGTAAGCACAATGTCAAATCTCTCATCCCTCCTTTAGAGGCTATGAAACCAAACCTTGGCAGTTAGTTAAACATCTTGACCAAAATCATTCAGCTCATGAGCAGGAGGTGGTATGTGAACCAGGTGATCCAAAGTCCAGACTTTTCATTTCTAGGTTATGCTGCCTCTCTGAAATTGCATCACAGGGAATAAACTAGCCTCACAATTATGCCTAATCAAATTTGTACATTTTTTCAGACATTATTTGAATAATTTAGATTTTTCTATTTATTTGTAGTCTGTAGCCAAAAGCTAAAAAATGGCTAAATCTTGTTTAGAAGGGTTATCTCATCTTAGTGGTTGCTGAGATGCCATCGTTAGAAGACTTAAGCAAATGCCTCTAATTAAGTGCCCTTAAACTCACAAAGCTACTTAAGAGTTTAAAACATAAAACTCGTTTATAGTAGTCACACTATTTTTATTATTACATTTCTACCTTTGACTAATAAAGAGCAATTGTTTTGACAATCCAATTTACTCAGATCAAATAGTTCAACAGGGAAAATAATAAAAGACTCAAAGTTGTATAAAGTGGTACAAAGTGTGGAAACCACTGATTTCTCCTGGTACACCAGGTGGTTGGGCACCCAAGGTGGAATGTTAGCATATCACAGCAGCATTCTCTGAAACTGATAAAATGCCAAATGCATCCTTGTTTTTTCTCTCTTTTTGGATCTACTCAGATTATGCTTTCCTTTTATTTCTCTTTAGTATTCTGAAATAGGTATCCTAATATTTCATTTAGTTACAAAAAAATTGAATCTCAAAGAAAAGCCAAGATCACATTCTAGTCCTAAATATACTTATGATTAGATTGATCAGATTTAACAAAACTATACCCTGGTTTCTAAGCTCTTAATAGTTATTAATTAGGTTAAAGTGTGATTCAATATGCCAAATTCACACAAAGAAAGTTACAAAAATAATAGTGTATACTGCTTCAAAATAATATAGGAGGTGCCCAGATGGTGTGGTTCAGTGGTTGAACATCGACCCATGAACCAGGAGGTCTCAGTTCAATTCCCGGTAAGGGAACAAGCCCAAGTTGTGGGCTTGATCCCCAGTGGGGGATGTCCAGGAGGCAGCCGATAGATGTTTCTCTCTTCTATCCCTTTCCCTTCTTCTCTCTAAAAATCAATAAAAACATATTTAAAAAAGAGGTACTTCAGATTCAAAGATACAAATGTATTAAAAGTATAAAGATGGAAAAGGCTATCGTGCAAACAGCACATACAAGAAAGCTGGAATGACTGTACTATCAGACAAAACAGACTTTAAAACAAAAATGTTAATGAAGATAAAGAGGGATATTTTACAATGATAAAAGGGTCAATCCATCTAGAAGAAAGGCTTTCTACTTGGACCTTCTGTACCTTTCACATAGCTCCCAGGTTATGGAAGGTGTACTCCGCACAGAATCGTGTGCCACCCCAGCCAGAGCCCTGCCCCTACATCTAGGGCAGCAGTCGCCAACTGGTGATCTGTGAGATCCAAAAGGTTGGTGACCGCTGACCTAGAGAGATCATCTTATGCTCCATCTCCTAATCATACTACCAACCTGACAACTGAATTCCAACTAATAAACGTATTAGGAATGATGGAATTAGAGGATTACCATTTGGTAACCACCATAATAAATTTTTCAGGCAAAAAAATCACCAATGGATGCTAAATCTGGTAGTCACAAAATAACTCCCCACAAGACTCTGATTAATGACAAAGTAAAAAATAACTTCACAGTAAAGGAACCTAGCAGACACCACCCTAATCAAGTGATCCAAGTTAACAGCACCAGCAATGGGACAAACGAACCCCATGCACCTGATATCATACAATAAGAATACTCGGCCCTAGCCAGCTTGGCTCAGTGGATAGAGCATCAGCCTGCAGACTGAGGGGTCACGGGTTTGATTCAGGTCAAGGGCATATGCCTGGGTTGCAGGCTCAATCCCTACTGGGGGGTGTGCAGGAGGCAGCTGATCAATGATTTTCTCTCATCATTGATGTTTCTCTCTCTCTCCCTCTTCCTTCCTCTCTGAAATCAATAAAAATATATATATTTTTGGAGTCCGATACCGATCCTCTTAGGTCCCGGAGACGCAGAGCAAGGGAAGGGTGTCTCCCCCTCCTTCCCTCAGCCCGAGCCATGGCCGAGTTGGGGCCAGGCTGAGTGAGACCGTCACTGAGACAACGGTTACCATGACAACCGAGCCCGAGAGAAACGGAGCCTGACCATCAAACTGCGGAAACTGAAGCCAGAGAAAAAGGTGGAATGGACGAGTGACACTATGGACAACGAACACATGGGGCACCGCTCATCAAAATGCTGTTGTATTTATGAGAAACCTCGGGCCTTTGGTGAGAGCTCTACGGAGAGTGATGAGGAGGAAGAGGAAGGCTGTGGGCACATCCCCAGTAGGGAGTGCGCAGGAGCAGCTGATCGATGTTTCTCATTGATGTTTCTAACTCTATATCCCTCCCTTCCTCTGTAAAAATAATAAAATATATATTTTTTAAAAAGTGTCAAGTCATGAAAGATGAAGAAAAACTAAGGAACTACTTCAGATTAAAGGAAGCCACAAAGACATGACACCTGAATGAAACATGCAATCCTGGAATGGTTCTTGCAATCCTGGAATGGTTCTTGGAATACAGAGTAAACAATTGGTAAAATCTGAATAAGGCCCGTAGATAACAGTTTGACATAATATTAATTACCTGTGGTCTTGTAACAGAACATCCTTGTTATTAGGAAATACTAGAGGCCTGGTGTACGAAATTTGTGCACTCAGTGGGTCCCTCAGCCCGCCCTGTGCCCTCTTGCAGTCAGGGAGCCCTTGGGGGATGTCTGACTAACTGCTTAGGCCCACTCCCTACGGGGAGTGCACGGGTAGGGTCCCTAGGCCTGGATGCAATCAGGGTTGATCGGGAGCTTCCAGCTGCCAGCTGGGGCCTTCCTTCCCCAGCTGCTGGCTGCTGGCCGGGGCCTTCCTTCATTCCACACCGCTCCCTGGTGGTCAGCGCACGTGATAGCAAGCGATCGAACTCCAGGTCTCCCAGTCGAACTCCCGAGGGGACACTTTGCGTATTAGCCTCTTATATATATAGATACACTTACTAAGTATTTAATAAGTCAATGAGCCCAAAGAGAAAGAAAAAAAAATGGAAATGCAAACTTT